GGGACTTTAATACTTCCAAATGTCTTTTTAGAATTGCAAAATTTTTAAACACTTTCAAAAGTAAAGAGACTTAATGAAGTTGTCAAATAGCTCCGACCAATAACAACAGTCTTGTCTCTTTTGTGTGTCCACTTAGTCCTGTAAAGTCACAGATATATCACAACAAACTGTACACCATTTTCTTCCTAAACAGTTCAGAACATAATTCTGAACGATAAGGGATTTTTTGCAACTGAAGCACACTGTATCAGTCTAAGAAGTTAAAATTGCTTAATAGCATTAAATTCCCAGTCAATCAAGAAATGTACCTAGTTCCCAAGGAGTTCAAATATCAAGGGGGTGGGGGAAATCTCTGTGTCAGATAAAATACTCAAAACTAGTTGTCAATGACCCTGCAAAGTACTACCTTTAAGAAGACAGTCAAAGACCAGGGGCTTGAAAAGACGGAACCAAGAATGGCATGCTAAACTTGTGAGAAGTTTTTTTTTTTTCCTTCTTAGCTGGTAGTCCTGGAGTGTCAAGAAGCTCAGAGACTTCAAATGTCTCAAGACTTCTTGCCCTTGGTTATGGCTATGTGTGTTTAGTGCCACATCATTTCACACTGCCAGGAAGGATTAGTCAACTAGGGAAACAAATCCACCTAAAATAACTTAGAGATCAAATGAATTCAACTCAGCATGTAGTCAACCCCTACTAATTGCAAGATATGGGCCTGTATCTTCAGAGGCACAGAGACAGTTGACTTGGTGAGTTTATAGTCGAGAAGAAAAAGAGGTCCAAACAATTATTTAAAATTGTAATAGGGTGTGATTAAGAATTCAGAAGGAATGTAGATCCAGAAACAGTAGTGTTGATAGGCAGATCTGGGGGGGGGGGTTGGCTGGTTTCTATAATATAGATAATTTAGAGGTTGACATAATGGTACCAGCAGCCGTGTCATCTGTCAGTGTCTTCCCTGTGCAATATGTCCCTGTAACTACTGGGGGTCTGTACGCCGCTCATTGGACAAGGTGAAAGATACCATGCAAGCTGGAAAAAAGTGGTTGGTTATCTTGAAAGAAGAGGAATTCCAAACAAGAGAGGAGGAGAGAATGGGTGGTCAGGAAAGGCAGAGAATTCCAGGAAGAGAAAAAGAGGAACAAAGGGTGGAAATTACTGGCAGGTTAGGGAAGCAGCCTATGGTGACCTTAGGGCAGAGAGTAGGAGGAGCCGGCTGACTGGAAATGCCTGCTGGGACCACAGGTTGGAGCCTTACTCAGTGGCCAGTGAAAGGGTGATTGTGTTTGGTGTTTACCCAACCCAGAGCTCCTTGAAATAGCCAGGTGGGAAGACATGAAGAAAAAGTTTAGGAATCCACAGCAGACGCCCAAGGACACAGGTAGAAGAGGCAATAAAACACACATGACATTTCGAAGAGTAGTGATTTCTAAAAAGATTTAAAGGTGAAGACAGAAGCAGGGGAGACTATCATATATATATAT